AACCTCACCCCGTCCCGCCCCGCCCCGCCACGCCACGCCACGCCAACCCGTTCGGGGCGGGTTTTTTTGCCCCATTCGAGGTGGGGCCCCACTGGGCGGGGAGGGAAAATTTGCCATCTCTAGTGTACACCATGGACTACACCAAGTTTCAACCACTCACAACATAGGTGGGGGGCCACGATAATAAAATAATCGTGACCCCCACACTTGTGAGGGGGCTGTGTACAAGAGTGTACACCATTAGCTTTTTCCCTTCAATAATTCTAACAAGGATTGCAACAAAAAAAATGGTGACATAAATTAAAATAGACCACAAAAATAATGAAAATACGTGAAAATACGTGCCACGATTAAAATGAATGATACTTAATTACCACCTATATTAGTTTTGGGTCCCACCAACAATACAAGAATTCAATCAATTCTAGTTTTACTGTTTCCAAGAAAAATTCCAAAATTTATTAAGTTCATATTATATCCCAGATAATGCATATGCATAAATCAATAAACTTGCACGGTATATACATATATTGAAACACATATAGTCCATATTATGTAATACCCACCAAATCAAACGTTGTTTTTTCAGATAATTTCTGATTTCAAAGGAATAATTTCAATGTTCGCAAGGAATAAATTCTAATTTAAGTGTACTAGTTTTGTATGAAATTCGAAATATGTAATACAAGAGATTTTGATGTGATTATGCTAACTTACTCTAAAATTAATGTAAAACTAGGGTCTATAACAATGAACGGATGATTATATTGAATTTAAAATGTGACTATTATTATCTATTTCAATTCTTAATTTGTAATCTAGTTGTATTCATGTATTCTTGACAATCAATAAAACTAATTCATTTAACTTTCTTTTTCAAGATAAATTAATTCTATCATAATCACGATCCGAGTTCATTCTAAGACGAATTCAAATGATTAGAATCTGTTAAATTTTAAACTATTTATATGATTGCACATGTGATAAATATTATTCCTAACATTAAATCGTGTTCTAAACTTATTGTGAGGCTTCTAACATTACAACAAATAACTAATTATCTATTTGTTAGCTACACAATTAAATAATGTAATGGGTATGCAAAACTAATCAAGAAATACAAGAAAAATACTAAACAACTAATCTTAAATTAAAATAAATAAATAAATATATTCATCTTCATCCAATACAAAAACGGATCTAACCTAACATGATTTCGTATAAATTACAAGAAAAATAAGTAAAAATCATCACTCAAATCATGAAATAATGCATAAAATCTTGATCTTTAATTTCAAAGTTGACTTTTAAAAATCTTGATGTAATAGACATTCAATTCGGTTAGGATCTGATATTCTCTTCAAAATACAGAAATGAAATCTTGTTCTTGATGAATTTGATGATATAATATGGAATTAAGATGCTAGAAAGAGTTCCTTCAATGTGTTCCCCAAGTTTATTATTAATAGGAATCAAAATTTTGATGCAAATAGCATCCAAATTAGTTTTCAAGAAGAATTTTGATTAAACAAGTAAATTGCACGTTAGGCCCCCAGTTATACCCATGCGCCCGCATCGTGTAACTAGCCAAACCCACGGTTGATATTGAAATTGCTATCGGTAAATCGAAAAGAGTGACTCGTACGTGCATAGTCAAAAGACTTGAACCCGCTTCGAGTCGTGCAATTTCATCTCTGAGCGATCATTAGTATTTTGGTCATACATTTCTCAAATGATATCCAATTGAGGTGATTCAAAGTGTACTCAAAGGGTACACATCATTTAGAAATAGAATATCTCCAATTTGAATATTTAATATCCGAAAAATGAGTTTCAATCTAAGACTGAAAATTTGGAACACAACTTTTTGTATTAGAAATTGATTTAAGAAAATATTTTAATTATATTTCATTCTTTTGACTTTCAATTGCATCAAACTCATCATATGTGGTCTTCAATCATCGTTTTATAGTTCGAATCAACCATTGAATATTTGCACTTTGGTCTTCGAATTTTGAATTTTCTCCATTTTTGCCTGTTTTCGCTCATTTCTTCCAATTTACCTAATTTGCCTCGAGTTTTATCTAACAAACAAAATTAATACAAAAGTAAGTCAAAATTTATGCAACACCTCCAAATTTGAACGATTGTTTGTCTTAAAACAAAATAGAACTTAACGTGGTTAGATAATCTGTCTTTGGCCTCAGGATTGGAATTTCTGTATTAAATTATGCATGACTTCAAAATGACAATGTTAAAATCAATTTCTACTTATCTAATGCAAAATCGATGTTTATGTGTGAAGA